GTCAAGTGCTCTTACTCTGCTAAGAAAATCATACTACATTTTTTGAAGTGCTGTATTTTATCGATTTTTTATTTATCTTTTAGAATATCATTCTAACATAAAAGATTAGCCCATTCTCAAAAGTTGAGTTAATATTGATTTTAATTTACACATTATAATTATAATATATTATTTAATATAAGCATTTATTCAAATATAAATTAATAAGATAAGATTATTGTATCAAAAGTTTTCTGTAATAAAGGTAATTATTATAATATCATTGCTTAATTCAGATATATTCTAAATTATTAATTATATATTTAGATGGTAAATAGGAATAGGCTATAGAAATAATTGATAAACCAATATAATCGGATCCTAAAAATTATTTATTCTTATGGTATAAAGGTAAAATAAAGAATATCAATAGGATAATTTATGAATTTATGAATAATAATTGTATATATATCGATTAAGCACTATCTATTGAACCACAACATATTTTACCTCTTAAATCCAAAAAAATTTATTATTGTAAATTTAAGGATTTTGTTAATCCAAAAAATAACATAGATAGAATATGAATTCAAATATAAAGATGGTTATTTATTATGAATTAGTATTTAAGATAAATCCTGTTTAGTGAAAAAAAATAAAAATAGATATTCTAAAATATTAAAATTAGATTTTTGTAAATGAAACCTTAAATTTCTCAGGCTTCAAATATTAATTTTTTAATATTTAGAATTGAAAGAAATCAATATTATTTTTCACTACCTCAACAATCTATCAATTTCACACATTGTCCAACTATCACATAGTGCTTTGGTTTCATGTCCTGAAAATAAATTATCTTTTATGCTTAAACTATGAAGGTTTAGGCATCTAATTATTTTAATTAGTTTTAATACTTAAACCCTATAATTCCTCATTATTTTTTAAAACAAATTTGGTTTCTTTAGATGAAATTATAAGATTCTAACAAAAGAAATGCTGTATAATTAAAAATTCTTTAAGGAATACATAAAAAAAAAAGAATTAGTTAAAATTTCATTGTAATTGAAGATTAATTAAATTAATGACTTATACATATAATTAAAACAAATTAGTAGATTAAAAAAAGTATTTTTTCATACTTATATATATTAGATAAATGAAATTTTATAATGAATGGAAACAATTAAATCTCATTTCAAACATTATCTTTAAATTGTTAATTTTTATTAAGTATATTTAGACTATTTTCACCAAATGCACATAAATAAATTTATTGTTTAAGAAATTTAAGTTTCATGATAATTTGGTTATAAAAAATATGAATCAAATGAATTTGTAATAAGTTAAATTCTGTAATTATTAATTTCTACTAGAGGATAATCATTATGCTTAGATCTTAGCTGATAATAGTTTTATAAGTTGTATAGAGTTTGTTTAAGATTCCGATATTTTCACACAATTTCATAACATCATGCTTATACAAACTTTACTCCACAAATAACATAATAGTGAAATAATAGATTAAATGATTAAAATAGATTAAACAGAAGTAATTTTGAAAAATATAAATCAAAATTTCATTATATTCCAAGTTTAGTAGAACAAGCAACATTGTATAAATTCAACATAATATAATTTGTTCTAAATAATTATATTATAGAATATTGCTATTGAGCAAAAAAACGCAGATACAGAAATATAAAGTTTGAAAAATTAATTCTTATAACTTAATTCTTCGATTTTTAAGGAAAGAAAGGAAAATTATCATTATAGTTTTTGATAGTTGTGCTGGAAATTAAAATTATGATTGTTATTGATTTTACAATATCAAATAAAGACTATTAAAACTAATTCACTAAAATTTCTTCATTAAAAATTTTCTGAGCAATATTTATTTTTAGGCAATCATTTATGTTGTTGAAATGTTGATTAATTTTGGTTAAGAAATAGGGTTCCCCTCAATGGATTTGAATTGAAACCTAAAATGTAATATTACAATAATAATTAAACATTACATCTTTTTCCTTTAATGTTTAACCAGATGATTTACAGTAAGATAATCTAATCATTTTTTATTTTGATCGCTGCAAAATATAATGTCTATATTGTATTATTGATATTAACTGATGTACAAACTGATATAATAGAATTATTTATCGATGGTATTATTTTTTCATCTAATTTACCATTATCAGGAATCATAATATTCAAATTTAAAAATATTGTGAATTTTAATAATAAAACTATAGTTGATATAAAAGGAATAAAGCTGTTAGAAATTAAGTTTATTTTTTTTCCTTCTAACCATTATAAAAGCGATCCAGCTCAATTATCAAAAGAGGTTTCAGAATACCTACCTAATTAATTACCCAATATATAAAATAGGTGTTATTGGTTGTAATCATCCTATAAGTTATTCGAATAATATTTGGAGTAAGTATTCAATCGATCCAGCTTTAAATTGATCAAACAATTTTGCCAATAAACCAAAATTTCCAGTTAAATCAACTTCTATATTGAAACAAATTAATATCGAAAAAGTATGAGAAAAATAAAAATTAACTTTTATTTTTCCAAGGGGTCGAAAGATAATTGAATAGTAGATTGAAAAGAATTCACGTTGATAAATGGAATGTTTTAATAAGAAAGTATGCTTTGAACTAACATGTATATATACTTAAAGGATGAGAAAAATAAATATCAAAGTAAATAAGGCTAATCCAAAATTCATTATTCAGATATAATGATCAAAATTATAATTGCAAGTAATTTATAAAAGGCTTGCAATAAAAAAATCTAAGATGAATAAATCAATAATTGAAAATAAATTTGATTAAAAATTTTATTGATATTTGTAGCTAAATTTAAAAAGTGACTATGATAATTTATGTAATTTTTAAAGTTGTTATTAAAAATTTTCATGATTTTTTTTTTGAGCATTATTTTAACCTTCAACTTTTTATTATATTTAGCAAATTGTGTAAATATAAATTTTTCTGTGTTTATTGGGCTGTTGTAGATTATTTCTTCTGAAATATCATCACAATAAAAGAAGTTAATTCAATAGTTGTTTAGAAATTTTCAAAATACTACGAATAAAAATTGAAAAAAAACACAAATAAAAACGAAATTATCTCTAGAAATCAAATGTAAAATATAAAATACTTAAATATTTCATATAAATAGTGGTTTAACACCTTTTTCAGAAAACTTTTGAGGAGCTTCAAAATAATAAGAATCTGTAGGTTTATTAAGTTCTATCATATTTGGAATGGTAAAAATATCATCCCATTAGATAGATTTATTTGAAAAATTATTTAACATTAAGAGGATCGTCAATGTTAAAATAATAGAAATAATTTATCCAAGTTAGAATCTCCAAAATAGTCTAAAAAGAGTCTAATCCACCAAAGAAGATTGTAAGAGGTCCAATAAGTTGTAGGATGAATGTGAATTAATTATAAGCACTGACTATTTATTAGGCCTATACTTTTTAATTCACATTGTAAAATATTTATTTTCTGGGTGTTATTACAATTTCTCT